AGTGCAAAGGCAGTTCGTTCCTAATTGGAGTGGTTGGTGTTTTGGGTAGTTCTGGGGGTCGGATTTCACTCAAACTTAGCGAAATTACTCCTCCCACCATATTGTGTTGTTGCCGAAGTTTTGGGCTTGATCCGAGATCAATAGGTGTATGAAATTGGACAATTCAAGTTCGAAGGCAGTTCGTTCCTAATTGGAGTGGTTGGTGTTTTGGGTAGTTCTAGAGATCGGATTTCTCTCAAACTTATCCAAATGACTCCTCCCACCATATTATGATGTCGCCCAAGTTTTGGGCTCGATCCGAAATCAATAGGTGTAAGAAAATGGACAATTCAAGTTCAAAGGCAGTTCGCTCCTAATTGGAGTGGTTGGTGTTTTGGGTAGTTCTAGAGATCGGATTTCTCTCAAACTTATCCAAATGACTCCTCCCACCATATTATGATGTCGCCCAAGTTTTGGGCTCGATCCGAAATCAATAGGTGTAAGAAAATGGACAATTCAAGTTCAAAGGCAGTTCGCTCCTAATTGGAGTGGTTGGTGTTTTGGGTAGTTCTAGAGATCGGATTTCTCTCAAACTTATCCAAATGACTCCTCCCACCATATTATGATGTCGCCCAAGTTTTGGGCTCGATCCGAAATCAATAGGTGTAAGAAAATGGACAATTCAAGTTCAAAGGCAGTTCGCTCCTAATTGGAGTGGTTGGTGTTTTGGGTAGTTCTAGAGATCGGATTTCTCTCAAACTTATCCAAATGACTCCTCCCACCATATTATGATGTCGCCCAAGTTTTGGGCTCGATCCGAAATCAATAGGTGTAAGAAAATGGACAATTCAAGTTCAAAGGCAGTTCGCTCCTAATTGGAGTGGTTGGTGTTTTGGGTAGTTCTAGAGATCGGATTTCTCTCAAACTTATCCAAATGACTCCTCCCACCATATTATGATGTCGCCCAAGTTTTGGGCTCGATCCGAAATCAATAGGTGTAAGAAAATGGACAATTCAAGTTCAAAGGCAGTTCGCTCCTAATTGGAGTGGTTGGTGTTTTGGGTAGTTCTAGAGATCGGATTTCTCTCAAACTTATCCAA